AGGCTGTATCGATTTCACCGCGATGCACTCGACACGTATCCGGAGGCAGCACGCTGGCTGTGCGACGAACTTCACAAGGTGTAGGAGCTGAAGAGAGTATGTAGCTTGTGGACGGCCATGGCTGTGGAGCAGGAAGCGAAGTGTGCACTTTACGGCTTCCACGGGGAGGGCTTCACTGAGGGCAAGGATGTGACGGGGTCCTTGGTGGTCAGGACCTGAGTCGTGGTGGCGAGAGGTTCCCTGTCGCTGGCGGCGTCCGTGCTGGGCACCACCGCAGCGAGGGCGCTGAGGGGCTTCCCGACGGTGTCCCTGGTGGTCGGGACTACCGTCGTGGCGGCGGACCCCTTGCGTGTGGCGCTCCGCACAGGCACGTCTGCGGCGGGTTCCGAACCGGGCGACAAGGCGCTGCCTAAGAGCCTTCCCCCTGTCCGAGAGGCCGACCGGAAGGCCGACCGGAGGGCCGGCAGGAGCCAGCCTCTCGGGAGCCGACGCTGACCTCTCCGAGCTCGGCTCAGAACCGTCCGAGCTCGGCTCAGACTCCAACTCTGACTCTTCAGGGTCGGAGTCTGACTCCGGTTCTGGCTCGCTCGATGCAAGGCAGATGTTGTGGAGCACTGCACATGCCGAAATAATGGCGGTGGCTGTTGAAGGGTGGTAATACAGAGCCCGGTGCCTTTGCAGACACCGGAATCTGTTTTTCAACAGCCCGATGCAGCGCTCCACAACAGACCTGATCGAGGAATGCGCCTTATTAAACCGGCCGCAAGCGGTGGAGGTCGCGTGGTTCCCGGGGACAGGGGTGATGAGCCAAGGCTCCAAGGGGTAGCCGCTGTCACCTGCACATGTAGAGGATGGAACATATTACATTCTTTACTTTTTAAAATAAAAGGCAAGAAAACAGCTGTGTGCAACTACGTCAATTATAATGTAACTTAAGTGTGACTTAAAAGTGTGTTAATATTTCTGCACTACAGTATCAGTTTACATTATGATTAATTAGCACTAGCTTGCCTGCAAACTCCCTGTTATTTCATGTAACTATGTGTTTTCCTGGTGGGTTGTATGGGATGTGTGCACGATTCCTTAGGCGTGCTGTGTTGTATGCAAGTGCATTATTAGGCCCTTGCATCCGACAGATAAAAGCTCTGTTGCTTTTGGGAGTGTGGCCGTGACCTTAGGCACGGGCAGAGCAGAACACGCTGGCCTTGTCTTTGGCAAGCAAGGGGATAAGGCGCCAGTTCGACGAACCTCTTTCCTAATCCTCGGTGGAGTTGGAGATGGGGAAAAGAGAGGGGGTGGTTAGATTGGAAAGGAGTCAGGTCCTGTTGGGACACGGAGGGTCTAGTAGGAGGAGCTATATAGGCAGTCCGAAGAAGAAGGGTCAGGGAAAAGAATCCAGTGTGTGGGACAGAGACGACACGAGGACAAATTTGGCGAGCCCCAAGTGGCCAAGGAGGAATTGATCCCATTCCGTACAAACTGACGACCGTCAAAGCGACCAGGCAAGCCCCCAGGTATCAGTGAAAGAGCTCCAACTTCATGCGAAAACCAACCAGCAAGAGGGTACAGGCAGACAGTAACAGTGAGTGGGCCGAACCGGACAGCGACTCGCACTGCGGTCGCATGCCTTGCATAGTCTATCACTGTCGTGAGATTGGTGTAGTGTGGCTTTCGTAGCCTGCAGAGTGTGAGAGTTATGTGGACATAAACAGAGATTAATGGCCAAACTTTGGGTGCTGTCTCACTTCAAGGAGTTCCAGCAACTGTGTCTGTGTGCCTCACAACAAGCACAGTACGTGTGGAACTGTGGCTTTCAAGCAGTGGGAGCCACCGTGCGCGTAAGGAATGAATTTAGTATGCTCACCAAGCAGGAACCGGCCGTCGCGTGGCAGCTGCCCTTGCTCGAGTTGGTTTCGGAGCCAGGAAAATTGCCACACGAAGGAGTCGTGCACCGACCCGGGATACCGTGGGTCGATGCACATTATCCGGCAGTCGGCGTCACACACCTGAAAGTGAGAGAGATATTGACATGTAATTACCTGAATCCACATAGTAGATTGTACTTATGGTTCACAAAGCAGTCGCAATTTCAGAACCTTTAAGTTATTTTGTCTGACACATGCATGTCAACACACCTTCCTGGATGCAAGGTACAACTAACTACCTTGAAACAAAAATAATTTTTTTTCTTTTTTTTTACGGAAGCTTGCACGTTTTGAAACTAAAAATAAGTATTATTTTTGGGAGAAGAGTCTCACGGCTCACATGCTACGTAGAGCACACGCTCGCGCAGTCGTGAGACCCCACAGCCCGCAGTCATAAAACGGCATACTTAAACAGTATCGGCAATACGTTTTTTTTTTTTTTCTACAGATTTGGGGCGCGTTTTGACAACGTAACATGAGTGTACTTACCACCATCACGTTGAGGGCGTAGAAGTACTTGCGGCACCAGTACGCCGCCTTCGTGACGGTGGGGTCGTTCTTGGACGGGCCGACGATGGAGACCATGGTCCCGTCCACGCAACCGATGACGCCGGGTATCCTGCCGAGCAGCCTGAAGCCCTTCTCCGCGTCCAACCTCTCGCTCGGCGTCTCGGGGAAGTGGATCCAGCCACGCTGGACCCCGAGACGACGCACGATAGCGACGGACACGGCGCGGACCGCAACGCTGACTGTCTTTTGGTCCCGCGCTACGTGTTCGTCGCTCGCCACTATGCCTTGGAAGCTCCCCGTGCCGTAGAAGCGCAGTGCACACAACACTTGAAGCTCCACAGTCATGACCGTCCACGAGGTACGCACTCTCCTCACCTCCGGTTCCTCGCGAAGTTCGTCGCACAACCACCGCACCACGATCTTGGGCAGGCGGTATTGCTTCCGAAAGATCTCCTCCGGGAGCTCGAATGCATCGCGGTGTTCCCGATACAGCCTTTCGGGCGAAAAAAAAAGCTCTATTAAAGAAAAAGTCGAAGTGACGAGACGACGACGCCTCGCCGCCGAAAACATGCTGCCAATGACACCTAGTTCCGAGCAAGTACCTTTTAAAACGTACTCGGTACAAAACGAAACGTCATTTTGTTGTCACGTCCGGTAGCCGACTCCGCCCAGTTTTGCCGACTCCGCCCACATTTTTCTAGGGAAATTACGTCACTTTTGTTTCCAACCAATCAGACGTGATGACGTCACTTCCGTGTACTAAAAAAAGGTACATGTACAATGTCGAACCTAGCTATCCTGGTGTAACCAGTTCGCGCTCGTTGGTGAAGGTGAAACGGAGCCTAGTGTGCCACTGAATAAGCTACGCGCACACCAGGTCAGAACACGTAGAGCGAAATCTCGCGCTGCAGAACCCAGGGATCCTGAGTTCAATGCCCAGCCCTGCCCGTTTCCATCTGGATGAGCATCGTACCGGCGTGCGGACCGGTCGTGTATCACTACTGCGTGGTGCACGTTAAAGTCCCCAGGCTACCGGTTGTAAGGCCCCTTCATGTTTCAAAAGTAGCGCAAGGTGCGTCAATGCAATAGGCACGCGCAACGTGCAGCCCTTGGAAAGATTATGGCGGCACAGCGCAGCACTGAGGTAGATTTCAGACGTCAAGAATTTCCCAGAAGTGGCGCGCGGCATGTGCCTCGAGCATTTCTACAACAATGAATGGCGCCACTTTTCCCAAGATAGGGGGGCTTTAAGAGGTTGTACTGCACAAGCCCACATTAAGGCATCCTATACTGCACAGGCTAATAAACGAATGACATTTGAGCGGACGGCCAATCAGCGCGCGACACTCCGGGCGTGGCGCATTCCATGCTCTACAGATGGACAGCTGATTCGCCGATCACACAAATGTCATTCGTTGTAAATGGCATTCGAGTTGCCCATGTGGCACGGGTATTACTTCAAGGCTGTGTAAACATACCCGCAACCAATTTCTTGGGGGACAATTTTTTTTGGCGAAGAAGCCAAACCCGTGCGCTCGCTCACATTGAGTGCCGATCACGGCTGTGCTCGCGTGATCTTCAATTCGCAAATGACAGAAACCTTTTCGCAATAAGCTTCCCAATAAAGCGTTGACAAAAACCTGTTTTCATAAGATGAAAGAAAGCTTCTCAGTACAGGTCGCTAGACTCAGAGAATCTAATTATCCCGACTCAATTATTACTTCAGCCTGCGATAAGGTGACTCGGTATATCAAGAATGATTCCAGTAAACTTGAAAAAGAAAAAGCCAAGATAGACAAAAAGAATGTCGCCGTTATACCTTACATCCATCGTCTTTCACACGGGTTAAAGGGAGTCGGTTCGAGGTATGGGGTCAATGTAATTTTTTCAGCGCGTAACAAACTGAGCAGAATTATAAACGTTGTTAACAAGCGTGCTGACAGGAAAAGTAAGCCAGAACTGTTTGGATGTCGCGTCAAGCATGGCATGAAGTTCGTGTCCTGTGCACAGGGGACCGTTTATGAAATACCGTTCTCATGCGGTCACTCATATATAGGTCAGACGGGTCGTTGCCTCAACATTCGTCTACGCGAACACCACAGTTCTTTAAAAGGTAACGCGTACTCCCATTTAGCTGTCCACTGCCGTGATTGTGGATGTGAGCCAAAATTTAGTGACACAAAAGTGCTGTTTAAACACAAAGATCAGCTACCGAGGGAGCTAGTAGAAGCTCATCATATAGCTAAACGAAAACCCGGGTGCGTGAGCCAACCATCCACTAACCTAGTGGACAGTGAGGTAATTTTTTTGGACATGGGTTGACCTGAGAATTGAAGATTGAAGATCCAAGAAAGAAGAAAAGAGGAAGACGCAATGACTTATACCTGTGCTGGTGTGTTTTAATGTACTCGTGTGTTTTAATTTGATATGTTACGTGCTTAATGGCGAATGACTGGAAGAGAAAAAAGAAGAAGCCGACCTCGCGTGAATTTCTATGTATGTGTTCTGAATAGACAGTTGATAGTCAGCGCCTCGTCCTGTGTGTTCCTCCTTCTTGTCCGTGTGGTATTCGCGCTGTTTTTCAAAATGAATTCATACCAACTCGCCCAACTTTCCATTCTAGTAAGCTTCATTTCTACTACAAAGGGCTCTTTTCTATGTTCTCCTCACCTTCTTTCGGACCCTTCATGGCTATCTGCTTTAATCGCCGTTTACGTGTGCAAGGCCAGGGCGGCATCGTGGTACGCAAAAATGTCTATGTGCCCACCAGAATTACAAGCTGTCTCCGGTTGGTTGGTTCCGTCGCCGGGTCATTCGAGGAGAATGTGCCGAGTTTTAAGATCCGAGTGGTGGCATCAAGTTCGCTTCTTCAAAGACTGTCTTCGGGTGGCATGTATCAACAACGCTCGGCATCCTCGAGATTTCCGCCTGTATCAAGAATGGACTAAGATCTCCGTCCAGACCACGGAGTTCCTTTGGCATACAGTCCGCCTCACGCTACCTCCCAAGAAGAAGACGCCATGTAAAGAAGGCAAGATATTGATCCTTGGAGAGCAGTCGGTTCCAGAGGTCCACCAAGATCTCTTAAAAAAAGGACCGAAGTTTTGCTTTGAGCCAGGGTTGGACCGGGTAGATAAACTGGTTTTATCACGGTCTGTGTCACGGCGGGTCGCGGAGGAACAAAGGCCCAGATGCATCGAGGAGTGCGTGGGGATTTTGTCAAAAAACGAAGGGAAGCCCCCTAGAAGCAGAAATTTAGAGCCTGTTATCAGTTATCTGACAAGTAATGGGTTGCGTATTCTGTTGTCCGACAAAGAGGGCTTTTTTGTTATTCTGCCGGAAGGTAATTTTGATGAGAAGGCTAACGCAGCTGTACAAAAGAACTTTAGGCAGGTCAAGGAACAGCCACAAAAGGTTAAAGCTAAAGCCTTGCAGCTTCTAGGTAGCTTAAACCTGGAAAGGGTCTTAGCTGAAGCCAAGAAAGAGAAAAACCTTATGTTAGAGGTATTTTTTACTGCAAAGACGCATAAACCAGAAATACCATTCCGCACAGTAGTGTCGGAGCGAGATTCCTGGCTCAGGGCAGTTTCAGGATATCTGCAAGTCCACCTCAACTCACTGCAGATTGATGACCCTTTTAACATTCCAAACTCGACGTCTGTTATAAAATTCTTAAAAGACAACAACCCAGCAAAATCTAGCGCATTTAGCATAGATGTGGAAGAGTTATATTACTCTATGCCCCATCATGAGCTCATGAAGAGCGTAAAAGGATGTATTTTTGAACTCAACGATGAAACGAGGTTTAGGACCAAAAGTGGAGTCTCAGTTGAAGGGTTCCTAGAGCTTTTGTCTATGTATCTAAAATCCACGTTTATCGATTGGCAGGACAACGTTTATGTACAAAAGTCAGGTGTATGTATAGGTTCAAGAGTGGCCCCTATGCTGAGCAGTATTTTTTTAGGTAAAGTTGATAGGGCCCTTGAGCACAGGCTGGCGAACAACACCAAAAAGGTTGTCAGATATGTAGATGATTACCTGGTTTTCGTAGAAAAAAACAATTTTAGTAGAACAATGAGCGAAGTGTTAAAGACGTTCGCGGAGGAAGGGTTAGGACTCCGCTTCACTTCCGAGACTCCTAAGGAGCACAAAATCCAGTTTTTAGACATCCAAATTGACGTGAAAGAAGATCACGTATGTTGGATGCACCACCCCAGATCCACGAAGAAACTACTAGACTATCGTTCAGCACACTCAAAGCTCGTAAAAAACGGTATTACGTATTCCTGCTTACAGTCAGCGTTGACAAAAACCTGTTTTCATAAGATGAAAGAAAGCTTCTCAGTACAGGTCGCTAGACTCAGAGAATCTAATTATCCCGACTCAATTATTACTTCAGCCTGCGATAAGGTGACTCGGTATATCAAGAATGATTCCAGTAAACTTGAAAAAGAAAAAGCCAAGATAGACAAAAAGAATGTCGCCGTTATACCTTACATCCATCGTCTTTCACACGGGTTAAAGGGAGTCGGTTCGAGGTATGGGGTCAATGTAATTTTTTCAGCGCGTAACAAACTGAGCAGAATTATAAACGTTGTTAACAAGCGTGCTGACAGGAAAAGTAAGCCAGAACTGTTTGGATGTCGCGTCAAGCATGGCATGAAGTTCGTGTCCTGTGCACAGGGGACCGTTTATGAAATACCGTTCTCATGCGGTCACTCATATATAGGTCAGACGGGTCGTTGCCTCAACATTCGTCTACGCGAACACCACAGTTCTTTAAAAGGTAACGCGTACTCCCATTTAGCTGTCCACTGCCGTGATTGTGGATGTGAGCCAAAATTTAGTGACACAAAAGTGCTGTTTAAACACAAAGATCAGCTACCGAGGGAGCTAGTAGAAGCTCATCATATAGCTAAACGAAAACCCGGGTGCGTGAGCCAACCATCCACTAACCTAGTGGACAGTGAGGTAATTTTTTTGGACATGGGTTGACCTGAGAATTGAAGATTGAAGATCCAAGAAAGAAGAAAAGAGGAAGACGCAATGACTTATACCTGTGCTGGTGTGTTTTAATGTACTCGTGTGTTTTAATTTGATATGTTACGTGCTTAATGGCGAATGACTGGAAGAGAAAAAAGAAGAAGCCGACCTCGCGTGAATTTCTATGTATGTGTTCTGAATAGACAGTTGATAGTCAGCGCCTCGTCCTGTGTGTTCCTCCTTCTTGTCCGTGTGGTATTCGCGCTGTTTTTCAAAATGAATTCATACCAACTCGCCCAACTTTCCATTCTAGAAAGTTATTATTTTTTCTTTTCTTTAACGTGCAATCAGACTCACTCGTCGATGACTCAAAGTTAATTAATATCCAAAATGCAAAACGGAATTTATTTCCAGCGTATGTGGTTATGATTGTGCTCGTGGAAGGAGCTTGGAGACGGTTCCGATCTAAGAAGACGACAAAAACGATTTAGCGAGGTTCGAGTTGAAACGGAAGAAAATGGAACAGATGCCATCTGTAAGCGAAACACTTTTGACACCTATATTCGTAGCCAAGACTGAGTGAATGAAAGTTTGAAAGTATTCTAGCTTGAAATATATGGGTGGTTCTTTACAAACTAGTAGCCTTTTTGGTTTGAGAAGTGCGTGATCATCTCAGCCTCTTTTCTAATTCACCGAAGACGAAGAATTGCCGTGGAAGATAAGGATTGTAGCGCCATAGGAAACCTTGATTCCTAAAGGCTCCCGATATGCCTTCCGATCTTATTTTAACATCCCTTAACTTATTTCATGCACTTGTTTGGTTTGCAATCTTAGAAAGTGAAAAGTAAGGCGAGACCGGCTTCACAAGGGCAACGTTTTTCGCCATCTTGCCGTTGCAGTAGCCGAAACACAGGCCTGCGTTAACACGCAGCAATCACCCATAATGTAATTCTCTCGCACTATCTGTACACAAAAGTAGGCAATAATAACGTTCACGGAAAGTATTTGCACTCAGAAGTGATTCATAGCGACCATGTCAGCTCATATGGGGAATAAATACCCTTGGCAGATTTGTTGCAGTTTGGAAGCGCTTTTTGTTGGTTTTTCTTCGGCGTGCAAGTGCCCGCGCGCATCTACCTAACTAAAAATTACAGGGGGACGCTAAAGCTTCGCCTTTAAGGGTGGAACGCGATAGCTAAACATATAGACGTCCGCTCGTTCCCAAGCTGTGCAAGGGTGTCTGCGTGGCCGAGTCGTTAGCGCGTCTGGCTCACAACCGAAGGGTCGTGGCTTTGAATCCTGCCTCCGCCTAAAATTTTCCCAATATATATTTTTAAGGAAATGAATTCCTTTATAAAGTGAAGTCATTTGAGACATGCGGCGGCCTTTAATCTGCATTACATGTCATGAATCACTTTCATTCTACGCGTGACGTCACGTTTCACGTGACCGTTGTCGGTTGTTTGAAATTCCCTCGTGAGGTAATGTTTTCTGTGGCGTCATGAACCTATCGACCAGTGAGGAGTTTTCCGTCCCGCCGACGCCGGCGTAAACAACGCCAGCATGGAGCGTTTATATATCGCTTCATATTAAGCTGGGGAGTTGCACATTATTCTCTGTTAAAGTGCCTTCATACAGACACGCGCTTATGCTTGAGTGGTGACATCTCAGCGATATTTCCGCCCAATCAGTTTTACTTTTTTTCTCCATCTTGAAGTGCGCGCAATCCGGCATAACTTAGCTCGAGCGCGTATGCTTGGCTAATGGTTAGACGGCATTTAAAGTGGGTCATGAAACGATTTTCCTACTTCTTCCTTTTTAGCTTTAATACTCAACTCAAATGCGAATTGTGAAATCACGTGGTCGTGACATTCCTTCGGCACCGGTGCGATGACTCATAGCTTCCACCGTGCTTTTTATGCACCACCATAGAACTTGTCATTCCCTACATCGGCCACGAACGCGAATCCAAATATTCGTTGACGGATTGATTGTTGACGAGCGCATACGTCCGAGTGACGCAGTTCTCGTGTTCAATGGGTGAGCTGGGCTCTGCTGACGTCAGTTTGGCGCCGGTGACGCGCTTTTGGAACCGCGGATGTATCATAGTGAAAAGGCGGAGAGCTTTCGAAGGCAAGAAGGTACAAAATAGTCGGCTATATTTTCAAATGTTCGTACCGAAAAGCTGACTTTTGACTTTCTAGCCTCTTTCTTTTGGCCTACTAAACGATATGCGATTAGTAAAATCCCAGTTTAAAATCATTAATCCCAACCCAAAATTCGTTTCATGAGCCCTTTAACCGGATGTCACGCACTGAGTGCGTAAGCGCGCCACGTGCTTGCCCAATCACAGCGACAAAGGATCTTCATCCTGAGACAGACAGACATGAAGGCGTCCTATCCTCAATAATCAACATCTCAACCACTAAATGTCACGTGAAAATGTCGCGTGCTTGATTGGTTGCTGCGACTTCAAACCGTTCTAAGTGGCAGTAATTGAGACGTCGGTTTGGCGAACTTCTTAGCAGCCCAGGGATTCCAAGGGAGATAGCTCGTCTGAATTAAGTGGGCGCCTTAGGCCTTCTTTAGCAGGGAATATTTTCCCTGGATTTCCAAGGGCAATTAGAAACTGCCACTAAGGGATGGCAATTCTTTTGTGATGTTAAAATAAGCCACAAAAATCGCCCTTCTTAATATGAACAGTAACGTTTGTATTTAGACGTGGTGTATGTAAGTGTTTCTTTTTAGTTGACTTGGAAGCATAGCTGCACTGAAAGCAGCTAAAGGTTCAACAGGAATATCAGGAAGTGGATATCGCAGTCAATCTTCTTGAGCCTTTGGAAAACCAGTCGAGGGAAGAGTAAAAACAATTAAGGTTAAAAATTAGGAGAATAAGGAGTGAATCAAAAACAAGATCACACAAACTGCGCTTGCCACACGAATTTCAAAGAAAATTCTAAAACATTTGTAGCACTTACAACATCAGCTGGTAGGCTGTTCCAATCTACAATTGTTCGAGGAAAAAAAGAGAATTTAAAAGCGTCGTTTTATAGCTATACGATTTTATTGTTTTGCTGTGGAAATAGTAGCTCTGGGGCAAAAAAAAAATTAAATTCTAAGCTCGTCATTACCGATGAGAAAGAGGAATTAAAGATAATTGCTTTCTTTTTCCTATAAAGTTTCGAGGCCCGCCTCTACACAAAAGTTTCAAGGCGATACATACGTAGAGCACATGTTATACACATCACGAGCTTCCAGCCTTAGCACTTTTTCGACTTCTGAAATGCAACCTGGTCTGTGCAGATCCCGGACTATGCTTCCATATTCGTACATTGGTGGAATCAGAGTTTTATCAAACATAAAGCTTCGTCTCACAGGAACCACGCTTCATATATTTTCGCAGGAAGCCCAACCTACTCATTGCTTTGCCGACAACGTGACTAATATCTGAATTCCACCTCAATACAGATGTGATAGTCAAACCGAAATACTTGTATGTCACGAATGATAGTTGATGAGGCGACGAATGACTGAAGGAAACTAAGTGTTTATTGGGGCAAACTTGAGCCCGAAACAAAATAGAAGTAGGCTAGCGTCGCAGGCGTCGATGGCGGCGTGATAGCAGTTTCGCGCGACAGGGCGAGACACACACCGTACGGCTCGGCGCGGCGCCGAAGCTCCACCTTCTTTGAAGAGTGGAGCTACCTTTGAAATTTTTAATTTTGAAAGGGCAGAGGATGTCTCCAGCGACTTTCTGAATACTATAACCAAGTACTTAGCCCACAATTCCGCGCATAATATTAAAAAAAAACGCTGGTCATGTGATCCGGGAAACAGCCTTTTTAAAGTCAATACTCAAGAAGTAATTTTTAATACATTCCTCCAAAATCCGGCAAAGCTTCGGCGATTCCATTGCGTTCCCGGACAGCCTTCAAAACCGGACAGCGTCCGTAATCTAAGTTAAAAGCTGACGTAAATTATTTGTCGAAATTATCAGAAATATAATCAAGAATCTCCACAATCTCATTATGAGTATTAATTTAATATACTTTTGGTTTCAATAGTGACATAAAGCGCCAAAACTCCTCAAGGGGGACTTCATAACAGTCAGTAATCGTATTACAATCGTTAATTACGTATTAGTCTCTATTATAAAGTCCCACTTTCACAGTACCGCTTGACAGTACACCGTAGTTTGTCTACGTTTTACTACGCTGCTCGCACAGCATCGCGGCAGCGAATTACCCAGAGATTAAAATTAACATTGGTTGTGTGTATGTTTATACAACCTGAACTTAGTCTGT